TAAGGAAGGGGCAGTGTTACGACAGCGGAAATCACGTGACTCTGGTAACACGTAATGAGTATCTAGAAGGTTCCTGAAGGCTCGAGTATTTGCCAGACGCCCTCTAGTGTGTATATATAAGATCGGCAAGAAGTGACGGCACAGATATTTGCAAACAGACAGAGACGGACAATTGAGTCAAGCGCGGTAGTGACCGTAGGTAAAGTGCGTGAATCGGTGTGAATTATAGCGTGTGTTCAAGTTAAAGTGACTGTGGAAATTAAGTGTATTGCAAAGTTGTATTGAGAAAGAATAAACTAGTTTTATTTAAGAAAGGACTTGTATCGCTAAAGTTTTATCCGAAAGAAATTATACGGGAAATTAACAAACGACCAGAGATGTAACAATATTATATATTATCACGTCAACATTTAAACTTCCTTCCTCACTTTCATGATTTAATTTTTCTTTTGTTCGTTTATTGTTAAACACAAAGCCACACAATGGGGGTGTCCGTGTTCTGCTTACTGCGGGTATTGAACCACCGGCAGGGGGCTTTACAATTTAAATAAGGAATAAAAATTCACTTATCAAATAATAAGAGAAGAATTAAAACCAGAAAATTCGAATTTTCGTTTATTTTCAGTATGCCAATAAATAATTAGTACTTCAAAGACATTACCTTCATGCGAATACTTTAAAAATCCTCCCAAAATAATCACCGTCAAATTCCGGGTGAACTGAAATGATTCCTCTCCTTCCATAAACGCCTCAACTTCTTTAGGTGTCTCTAATTTGACGGAACTTCCTTCTTTAAAGCTAGAAACGTACATGAAAATAGAGGTAAAAATGAATAAAAAACACTCGCTGCTACAAACAGATTACGGAATAACGTCTATCGCAGATAACATTTGTCATTCATAGAATTTATGAAACATTACAATGAAAATGTATATGCTTTCAGCTTCTAAAAATGTTTACATAAAAAGGTTTGATACATGTACTTTAGATGAGGTTTCTGCCAGATTTGACCTAATACGTCAAATAATAGTGATGTTCAAAAATTTAACTCGTTTAGTGAAAAATCTCACTAATACCGAGACTAAGACGCATAAAGTGATAGCCGTGGGAGGTGGCTGACACATTAAGTATGCAAATATAAGTATAAAACTAAATCTAAAAACTAAAGCGTTGTATAGTAAATATGAATTAGGTAAAGAGAAATACGTGCTTTCAACCGCATATCAACCATAGTTAGCTTGTGCTCTTATCTTTTAGGTACTTATCTATACGTCTTTTTGTCTGCCCTCTCGTTTATCTATCAAGCTATTAGAAAAATAATAATAATAAACAACTCCTACACCAGCAGTGTATTCTACAGAATGTCATAATAAATAAATAACTCCTACACCAGCTGTGAATTCAACAATGTGTTCTAATAAATAAACAACCCCTACATCAGCACTGAATGTTCTAATAAATAAACAACTCCTACACCAGCTATGAATTCAACAGTATGTTCTAATAAATAAACAACTCCAACACCAGCTATGAATTCAACAGTGTGTTCTAATAAATAAACAACTCCAACACCAGCAGTGTTTCAAAGAATAATGTGTTAAATAAACAACTCCTACATCAGCTGTGTATTCAACAATATGTTCTAATAAGTAAACAACTCCAACACCAGCAGTGTTTCACAGAATAATGTGTTAAATAAACAACTCCTACATCAGCAGTGTGTCCACTGGATGTTTTAATAAATAAACAACTCCAACACCAGCTATGAATTCAACAGTGTGTTCTAATAAATAAACAACACATACACCAGCAGTGTTCCACAGAATAATATGTTAAATAAACAACTCCTACACCAGCAGTGTTCCACAGAATAATATGTTAAATAAACAACTCCTACACCAGCAGTGTGTTCCACTGAATTTACTAATAAATAAACAACTCCTACACCAGCTGTGAATTCAACAATATGTTCTAATAAATAAACAACTACTACACCAGCTGTGAATTCAACAATATGTTCTAATAAATATACAACTCCTACACCAGCAGTGTTCCACAGAATGTTATTATAAATAAACAACTCCTACATTAGCAGTGTGTTCCACAGCATACTCTCATCAAACATTCCTTTATAAGTGATTGGCTGTTCTCCTCTCTCGTAGAGTCGAATCGTTGGGTATTGGGTGACGTTGTGATGCTGGCAAATATCCGTCCAATCAAAACAGTTTACCCTAGCAAGGAGGTTGGGTTCTCCCTCAAATCTAACAGCAAGACGAGTAAACATATGTAGAACAATCAGACTTTCTGGATCCCCTTGCAAAAGGAAAAGAGAGAACCATGAAAGTTAACTTTCTGAGCTTTGACATTATTCATACTGTAAAAATTTGATTCTGTCCATCATAAATTTAGAAAAGAGAAATAAAGATAAACACCTTCCTACCCAAACCTCTCTCAGGTGTCCGGATATAGACTTTTAGGTGCAAATTGATTTACAAACTTATTTGTGATATATATATGTATATACTTTTATCAATGTCTTACAATTATAGCATTTCTATAAAGTATTTAAAACACAATAATACATTGTTTAAAGCGCTAACTGGTGGCAAGTTAATAAGTTCCGACAGAATATGGAGTTATTTACAAAGTAGCGCATCGCACCGTCATATTTGTTGTTAAGTTTAATATTAATAGTGCACTGTGTGACGCATCTGACTGGTTATTTAAAATAATTTCAGGAATTCCTTCAGATCAAATAATGATTTGATTAAAATATTTACTTGCTGACTTTATAATCAAGCCAGAATGGGGATTCTGACTGTGAAATAATTCTAGAACAGAAAGCCAATGGTTGACAAATGTCAAAATAAACGTTAGTTGCTATAACAAACCGAATTAATTCATGTTTTTTCGTATTTATGTTAAGTTCTGAACAGATCATATTGCGGGTTTTCGTATTTAAACAATAAATGTGTCCTTGGTTAAATTAAAAACGAGTCACGAAAGCGTAAGCAAACAAGTAAACGAAAAATAGCTAAAATTTTGAATTTGCTGAATTCAAACACGTGTATTTAAGAATTTAAAGCCCCCCAGTGGCACAGCGGTATGCCTGCGGACTAGAAACCGGGTTTCGATACCCGTGGTGGGCAGAGCACAGATAGCTTAACTTCAAACAAACAAACAAAAATTTAACATTTCAGACTTTTTCTCAACTATATTTTAAAAGACCGTAACAACGGAATTCTAGTGTTTAGGATTGTAAAATAACTACTTAAAATAGTTGTCCTTTCACAGAGGCGTTAATTGTCTACGTAAGAACTTACAATCCACGTAAAATATCACCATAGCTACGGGAATATCTTCTAGTAGTTTGGGCATAGTTTTGTCGGTGAGGGCTCTGATGCTGGTGACGTTAGGACCGCCGATACGTCTGAGAGCTACAGCAACAGGATCGTCTTGGCTGAGCAGATCTATGGAGAAATAAGGAGGTTTTCAAACACCTTTTCAAATAGTTTAGAGGTTTCCAAACACCTTTTCAAATAGTTTTAGAGGTTTCCAAACACTTTTTCAAATAGTTTAGAGGTTTTCAAACACCTTTTCAAATAGTTTAGAGGTTTTCAAACACCTTTTCAAATAGTTTTAGAGGTTTCCAAACACCTTTTCAAATAGTTTAGAGGTTTCCAAACACCTTTTCAAATAGTTTAGAGGTTTTTAAATACCTTTTCAAATAGTTTAGAGGTTTTCAAACACCTTTTCAAATAGTTTTAGAGGTTTCCAAACACCTTTTCAAATAGTTTAGAGGTTTCCAAACACCTTTTCAAATAGTTTAGAGGTTTTTAAACACCTTTTCAAATAGTTTTAGAGGTTTTTAAACACTTTTTCAAATGGATTACTTTTAGAATAATAATGGATTGTTTCTTTCTGCAAATGTTATCAAACTAAAGTTTGATATTTGGGAAAGAATCACTTCCGACTGACAATGTAACACCAATCGCTGGCTAGTTATTCCTGAATAAGCTTTGTTTGTTAGTTTGTTAAATTTCGCCCAAAGTTACTCGAAGGCTATCTGCACTAGCCGCCCCTAATTTAGAAGCATCGAACTGCTTAATTAAAATAATTTCAGGAATTCCTCCAGATCCCATAATGATTTTATTAAAATATTTTCTTGCTGACTCTATAACCAGGCCAGAAGTAAGGTAGCTAGTTAACAGCACTCACCGCCAACTAATGGGCTACTCTAATCAAATATTGGTATTGACTGTCACATTATAACGCCCCCACGGCGTTATATAACACCCGAAAACCAACAGTTCCATTTTACCAAAAATACAGCATCGATGTATTCTATGCTATGCCTCCCTTTTCACCCCCCTCATGATGTCTCACAATCGGAATTAAAGATGCAAAAATTTGACGACCAGCATCTGCATAACTGTTCTATTGTTTGATGTTACCATATAGTTTAAAACCATTACTCAACAAAATTTGATGTTACCATATAGTTTAAAACCATTACTCAACAAAGTTTGATGTTACCATATAGTTTAAAACCATTACTCAACAAACTTTGATGTTACCATATAGTTTAAAACCATTACTCAACAAACTTTGATGTTACCATATAGTTTAAAACCATTACTCAACAAAGTTTGATGTTACCATATAGTTTAAAACCATTACTCAACAAAGTTTGATGTTACCATATAGTTTAAAATCATTATTCAACAAAGTTTGATGTTACCATGTAGTTTAAAACCATTACTGAACAAAGTTTGATGTTACCATATAGTTTAAACCATTGCTCAACAAAGTTTGATGTTACCATACAGTTTAAAACCATTACTCAACAAAGTTTGATGTCACCATGTAGTTTAAAACCATTACTCAACAAAGTTTGATGTTACCATACAGTTTAAAACCATTACTCAACAAAGTTTGATGTTACCATACAGTTTAAAACCATTATTCAACTAAGTTTGATGTCACCATATAGTTTAAAATCATTATTCAACAAAGTTTGATGTTACCATGTAGTTTAAAACCATTACTGAACAAAGTTTGATGTTACCATACAGTTTAAAATCATTACTCAATAAACGTTCTTTAGTTTTTGATAAAAGTTCCATTACAACATACTACTGTCAAACTTCTAAAATAGGCCCGGCATGGCCAGGTGGTTAGGGCGCTCGACTCGTAATCTGAGGGTCACGGGATCGAATCCCCTTCCCACCAAACATGCTCGCCCTTTCAGCCGTGAGGGCGTTATAATGTCACGGTCAATCCCACTATTCATTGGTAAAAGAGTAGCCCAAGAAGAGTTGGCGGTGGGTGGTGATGACTAGCTGCCTTCCCTCTAGTCTTACACTGCTAAATTAGGGAAGGGCTAGCGCAGATAGCCCTCGTGCAGCTTTGCGCGAAATTCAAAACAAACAAACTTCTAAAATAGAGCATTGTTGTTGATAAGAGGTATAAAGAACGTTTCTTAACAGGATATTATTAAATACTACTCAGTAACGTAACTACGTAGTCAGAGTCTACGAAAGTGGTCAATTTTTTTACTTTTTATTCTAGAAGTTATCAAAGATAGAAACAGTGCTACTACTTACAGCATTCTTCGTCGAGCGACTCTTCATCATACATCATGCTGCTCATCTTGTTCAAGACAACAGTGTAGTACTGCTGTAGTTGTTCTCGGATGAAATTAAAACTGTCTTGGAAACCACTGAACACAGCTACCCTTGTCTAGAAGGATAACAAAGTCACTGTCATATTTCTATCGTAAGGGATTTTATCTACAGATTGAGGCAGTCGTCTAATCTACAGACTGAGATAGTGGTTTTATTAATACTCAAGTAATTGATTGAGGAAGTTGTTTTATATATAGACTGAGATAGTGGTCTTATTAATAGATTGAGGCAGTCGTTTCATCTATAGATTAAAATAATGGTTTTATATATAGCTTGAGAAAATGGTTTTATCTGTAGATTAAGAGTGTTGGTTTATCATAACCACAAAACAAAAAATACTTACATCATCGGGTTGCAAAAACATGACGTCTGGAGGATAAATAACCTCATTCAGGCCTAAGCTCTTCAGATGATGCTTGTTAATCAAAGTTCTACAGTCAAATATGAAGAAAAAACTATTTGTAAAAAGTTTATATATTTTTGTTTTCAATAAGCTAGAAATTCTAATATATTTTATATGTAACATAAACCATGTTTCATGAGTACTACAATTCTTTCGGTATTATATGGTACGGTTTATTAATACAGAAGGTAGAAAAAGAGGCCTACCTATTCACTTACGTTACCTATATGCAAATAATACATATACTTAGTGCTTCATGGTAGAAGGTACTCAATTAAGGGGTCACATAAAGAGTTTACAGTGATCTGTCTACGATGTGTTCCTGTAAATACTACACAGGTTTCCTTTCAGTTGAGTCAGTTTTTTCTCTGGCTTGGTGGAGAGTTTTTTAGCTGCCCTGGACTGCTTTTCTTGATCTTTGTTCTAATGGTAGTTTGTTTGTTTTTGTACAAAAGAAAGGCCCAGACCATTATCCAGACCGCCAGATTAAGAACGAGATGGTGAATTTTGTATCTTTACCACTCCAAGCACTCAACAAAACTCAGAAAATGTCAGACTGCTAAGTTTGCTATTTCACCTGTAAGGACTGCCTTAGATGCTCTGAAGGAAAATATTCACTGCTAGACCAATATATATTAGTTCTTGCATATGTTGGACTGTCAGAAGGAAGACAAGATGGCTCATTTGAAAAATTAAATTACCATTACCATCATCCATTAATTATCATGATTAGTATTTAGGTAGTATGTAGCAATATTCAGAGTTTTCAGATGCAATGCAGATCTAGAGTTCTCTGTCAGAGTTTTCAACTGGCATCCAGACCCTACAGTTCTCTGTCAGAGTTTTCTCTGGTGTGATCAGTTTTCTATCTGCACAAACTATCTACATTCTCGTACAAATACAGCTAGTAGAAGCACTTCGGCAGGTTGGCTGAAGTGTGTGATACTTACTGATATTATCTGGTCATTACGTCATGCAAGGTCCAAAGAGTCACCTACATGATAGACCTTTGGACAGATAGCCACATCACAGTTTGGACACCGTGCCCGCAGGTGCTATAATGGTGACACAGGACACCATCGCGATTCTGATCTTAAATGTATTAAAAAAAGCACACATCATCTTACAATACAGACAACTGTTCTGAAGCTAGGTCTGGGTCTTTTACTCTCTACTATAAACGCTTCTATGTTGTGAGATATGTGTTCATTCACTAATAAAATTTCACTGGACTATGCCATACTAGAGATTCACATGACTATGCCAGACTAGGGATCAGAATGCTGTTGAACACACTCTGTTCTTCTCAACAACTTATCCATTTGATCCTTAAACTTGATCTGTTAGATTGCTCTGTCCTCCATCAAGTGAAACTGTTGGCACAGCTCTAACACCAAGGTGTTTCAGCAGCAAAGTTGGTCATCATCCAAAACCTCTACATCATCAATCAGTGGATCATTCAGGCTCAGTATCACATAGTGTGATTTTTATTTCTGCATCCAAAAGTTCAAGACAGCAGCTTACTGAAATCATTGCTCGAAATGATCCACATCCTCTTTTGCCTTACCTCTAAAGGATGAAGAACCAGTTTATTTCACCAAACCAACTCCTATTAGAGGTAGAAAGACCAGATGCCTAGCTGAACTTCAGTGATGTACAGACATTCTAATATTCTAAGTTTTTGCTCAAACCCTGGCAATTCTGGGCTGTCTGTACTCACAAAAGAAGTTGTAGTGGGACCAGTGGTCATCCAAATATTAGCGAGGAGTTGGCTTTGACCAATGGAAACCATACATATGCTTAATTTCATCTTGAAGTATTATCATCTTGTTCACTCAGTACTGGATGCTGATAACAAATTACCCCATAGACCTCACCATAAATATTCAGCACATCCAGATTTGGATATTCCTCAGTAGTCAGTCATCATTATCGATAATCTGAGAAAACAAAGGTCACATTTTGGCTATCTCAGTTGAAAGCCAGATAGTAATGTTTTTGAATGGCTTGTCAGAATACCAGAATTCATATGCAATAGGATCTTCCCAGTGTATTTTAAGACTAACAACCTTGTTGTGACTCCAGCTTCTCTTCTTCCTAGCCATACGTTCTCATATGACACAAAGATATTACACTAGTAACATATGATCGAAAGCAGGAAACTTCCAAGAGACAGAAAAACTAAAAAAAAAAAAGTGAAACAGAGAAACAGGCTAATTTGTGATACTGAACTACAAATAAATGGACGCTTCTCAAAGGTTAACTTTTGGCTGGAAGAAAGACGCGTGAAAAAAAAGTTGTTCTTGTTACTTTGGCCACTATAAAACTGAACTTCTCAACTTTACAATTTTGACCTAAAAAATTAATGTATCCTCTACAAGTTTACAATATACGACCATTGAGTAATCAACTTCGCAAGACCACCTTAAGAAATCACAAAACCAACAGACCAATGAGAAAGCAGAGACTTTATGGATTGGTAAACCTGAAAAAGAGGTATTTGGTTAATTGCATCAGATACTTGTGTAAAGCTACACAAGGACTATATACACTAGCAATCTATAAATTTGAACTGATAAAACAGAAGGTAGCATTTAGTCAATGGCACCCACCGCTAACCCTTGGACCACCCTAATCGAATAGTGGGAATAAATCGTCACTCTTATAACGCAGTCGCGGTCCCAAATTGCAGCTCATTTTATTTTTTGACGAAAAGTGGATGCAGGTCATAAACTTTCGGATTCACAAAAACTGGATGCAAACCATGGACATTCGGACTCACAAAAACTGGATGCAAACCATGAACTTTCGGATTGACAAAAACTGGATGCAAACCATGGATTTTCGGACTCACAAAAACTGGATGCAAACCATGGACTTTCGGATTGACAAAAACTGGATGCAAACCATGGATTTTCGGACTCACAAAAACTGGATGCAAACCATG